AAGAACTGAGATTCTTAGAAGAATTGCATAGGAATTCCTATTTGCTTCTGTAATGAGTAACTTTTGAAAATGTGGCAACAGAGGGCAGCATAGAAGGGCTTTATGATCTATTAGCTTTATAAACTTGATTTGTATATTTATTGTCCAATAAGGAAGAAAAGTAAGCTTTTATAGATGGCAACCTGAATTTAGACAGCTGATAATTGCAGTATTAACAACATCTAATAATCCCTATCTCCCATAAAGTTACAGAGGAAAAACAAAAACATTTTGATAAGCACAGTGGAAAGAAGAACTGAGATTCTGTCAAGGATTATATTTAAATCAGGTGTACTCAGATCTAGGCTAGTGGATTCACTATGAGTTACTGTAGCCTCAGTTCAATTCAAGACAATGGGAAATGTAATAGCTTGTAATAACGTTTATAGTGAATAAGAAACAGAGCAGAATTGTATACGTTTACATATCAGGTATGCTATATAAATAATAATCAGAAGATATGTATCAGCTTATTATATTTTCCAATATTGCATGATATGATTTGATTTTTAATTTGTATAAGGCAGAAATGTAACATCCAAACACAACCAAATACAAGTTTTGCAAAGCTTCATTTCAGCAACATATTTTCCTGTTTCTTTTTAGCTGTGTGTATTTGTGTTCAGGGGGCTGTATTTAGAGTGATGATACTTTGTCTGGCAGGACTTCACTGATGGAAGGAATGTATGAAAATAACAGGTAAAAGAAAAGACCAGAAATAAGTTCCAGGATGTTCTGCACATCTGTTTCAAGCAACCGTGATGCTATAAAAACGTCAAGCAGTCTTGAGTCTGATTTAGATTCCTGCAGTATCTTCCCTGAGGTTGCATAGTTAAATCATAGACATTTATTAACTCATTGGAGCTGGCACTGGGAGCAGGAACCAAGTCACGACAACACTCTGCTGTGTTCAAAGGGTGCAATGTGTTTGACAGCAAGATTTCTAAGATGTATTAAAGTTAAATACTTTTTTCCCATTAGGTAAAACTGGCACCTGGTTTTAATGGGCAATAAAGCTGTAGACAGCAATAAATTGAAATTTTTTTGATGCTTTCTCTAATTTAAATTCTATCCTTAATGATTACATTATTAAATGGAATTATATTTCCCCTTCTCATCCTTCATGACTACATTTTTGCAGTTGTACATGAAAATAAACTTTATATTCTCTTATGATGGCTGCTAGCTTGCCTGTTAGAGTCATCCAAGAGTAAGATTGGACAATCTGAATAAAAAAACCTGAATAAATTAATTGTCCCCACACTACAAACATAGATGTAACTAGAGAAAATATCAAAAGAAATATGGAAATAGGTGTCTCTGGTAATACAATATGTGTGTTTGTATGTATGTGTGTCTGTCTGATCATGAGTATTCTCCCCCCTTGCCCCACCCACCCACACATATTGTAAATCTTATTAATAAAATCAGAAGGCATGGTATCAGATAATGGGGCTTGGATTTGGCCTGGAAGCCACATTAGAAATATTTTTGTCTGCCCTTAGTGAACAGAAGGCAACACAACTTCTACAATGGATAGAATTAAACAGGATGACTTTTTGCAAATTTGAATGTATATTTACAATTTAGAGTAAAAGATACAACATGAGAAAAAATATACACTATTTTGGAGACTCTTCCAGAAGAGTTCTTTGTAACAATTTGTTTGGCAAACATGTCTTGTGATCAACTCAAGGGCTTTCTATTACTACTTTTGGGTCTTTTACCCACTTTTCTTGGAATAACTTTTCTAGCTCAAAAATATTCTTATTCTCCTTATGTAACCTGCATATTTGAGATCTCTCCAAGTATTTTCAGTACTATTCAGTATTTCAAGATAAAGTAACATTCAAGGGAAAACTATTCCAAAATATTCATTTTGGATATATATTTTGAATCATGCTATTCTATCATGGAGAAGATACAGCAAAGGTGAGTTGTTCCAGAAAACAAAACAAAGAATCATAGGTTTAAATTGCAAAATAAGTAGATTTTAGTTGGACATCAGGAACTGAAAAGACCCTCGAAAAGATCAATTTGCCAATCTTGGGTCCTCTTTGGAAGCACTATCTTATCAGTTATAGTAAGATACAAGTAGCCTTCATAGTCTTGCCAGTTCCATTTTTAAAATAAAGTAAAGTAAAATAAAATTCATGCCAGGACCTTTAAGTGTTAACTTGGTATCCAATTTTCATTGTCAAGAGACTTAAACCTGCCCTAATTTAACAGAATGTAAAAGTAGGAACTGACCCAAACATGCATATGAGATTGAACATTTTTGAGCTCAAATTTAGACTACTAAGAGAATTTAACTAAATTCCCAGTTGCACTGACAAAACCATGCCAGAAATGTATCAGTCAATCAAGTAAGAGTAAATTTTAAGGTTGTGGCTGATCGCATAAAAGAAGTTGAAAGCTAAGAGAATGAATAAAATCCAAATGTTAGTGTTGCACCTCAAAAGTGCTATGGCAGCCCAGGAGATGAGATAATAGAATTATTTGCTAGCTATTCACAACTTGTCAGAAATAGTGCTGTACATATACAACACAATATTATTCATAAAAGTGAAGTTGGGGAAGTGCAAATCTAACCATTCAGATAATGGGATGCTAGGACACCTCCAGAACTGCAAGATCGGTGTAGGAGAAAATGAATGTCTTGGATATTATTAGAAAGTTCTAGGCCTGTAACAGTTATGAATAATCCTGATGAATATTGACTGTTGCAGATTCTGAAGCAGAAGAAAAACCACAACATCTATAAAATAAGTTCAAAGTTATAGTATGTTTTGAAGCCACCTGATATGATTTGGTTGCTTTGCTTTGAAGCATGTTCCTGCTTCAATTTATGAATCTGCTTTGATGGGTTGATACAATAAAGGGGCTTTAAATCAAAATACTCCTTTGAAGCTTTGAGTAGCCATGCTTAATAGCATCCTGTCCCTCTACTCTCCAATTGTTTTGCCCTGTAATCTCCAGAATTCTTGGGCAGAAAAGAGAAAGGAATACCCTGTCAAGTAAGCCAATACCAGCTTCTCTTCCAAAATGATGAGATTTAACACATTAGGGTGATAAGAGGTGCCTGATGGTGCAATGTTTAGAATGCAGTTTTTCAGGCTAACTCTGTCCATAGCCTGGCGTTTGATTCTGATTGGCTCAAAGTTGACTTACCCTTCCATCCTTCCAAAGTTGGTAAAATGAGGACCCAGATTATTGGGGGTAATATGCTGGCTCTGTAAACCACTTAAAGAATACTGTAAAACACTATGAAGTGGTATATAAGTTTAAATGCTATTGCTAAAAAGCTGAAATCCTTCCAAAGAAAAATGGAACAAGAGTCAATTAGGCTGATGAATTTATTGTTGTTAATCATTGTCATTCACTTTATTAAAAGTTAGTAAATTGAACTTGTTGGAATTTATTAAAGGTAATTTGTTATTTGCAAACTGAGTCTGCAGTTGTGTTTTATTAGGAAAAAAGGAAACAATTCCAGTTTGGAGAAACATCAACACAGGGTTGTAGTATTCTGACAATGTTATCTTGATAGTTTGTTTCTAAAAAGCCCTCAGAAAAATCTCCCTGAAAATCTCTTAAATTAAAGAGGTATAATTCATTGATCCTTATTCCCAATCTAGTTAGTTATTAATTATAGCAAAATTGACATCTTAAATATGGGTTTTGGCAGGCTGTCTTCTGGGTTTCTAACAAAACTGAAATATTTTTTTTCCTCAGGGACAAATACAGAGATTGGAAAAGCTGCTGATGAAATTTGCTTCCCTTAACTTCCATCCTACTTTATCATATTTAGCTCAGGCCAGTTGAATATTAGGATTCTGATTAGTCAAGATGAAATATGCCAGTGGACAAGGCTAAATGTCTAAGTCTGAATCTTGTCTTTTGTGCTTATAAAAGAAAATTAAGATGGTCACTATTTTCAGAGATTCCAAGTAACAGAATTACTGACCTGGTAACTTGTAGTGTAAGGAATGTAAGGAATTTAAGCATTTTGATGTGTATAAATGGATCTAACAATGGACTGTGTCTATAATTAACAAACAAACAAAACATAGTGCTGATTAATGACCATGCAAATGTTTAATTAGAAAATAATGGTTTTGTTAACCTGAATGATGTGTTTACTTGTCAATTGAGTCTGATTTTATTCTATTAATATTAATATTCATAATTTAGCAATTCACTTCATTTAATATTATTAAATGTACAGACATAGAATGGATTAAAGCATAAAAAGTGGTAAAGTGTCAATACCACTTTACAATGCCTTGGTAAAGCCACACTTGGAATACTGCATCCAGTTTTGGTCACCACGATGTAAAAAAGATGTTGAGACTCTAGAAAGAGTGCACAGAAGAGCAACAAAGTTAATTAGGAGACTGGAGGCTAAAACATATAAGGAACGGTTGCTGGAACTGGGTATGTCTAGTCTAATGAAGAGAAGAACGAGGGGTGACATGAGAGCAGTATTCCAACATCTCAGGGGCTGCCACAAAGAAAAAACAGTCAAACTATTCTCCAAAGCACCTGAAGGCAGAACAAGAAGCAATTGATGGAAACTAATCAAGGAGAGAAGCAACCTAGAACTAAAGAGAAACTTCCTGACAGTTAGAACAATTAATCAGTGGAACAACCTGCCTCCAGAAGCGGTGAATGCTCCAACACTGGAAGTTTTTAAGAAGAGACTGGACAGCCATTTGTCTGAAATGGTATTGGGTTTCCTACCTGAGCAGGGGGTTGGACTAGATGACTCCAAGATCCCTTCCATCATCATCATCATCATCATCATCATCATCATCATCATCATCATCATCATCATCATTATTATTATTATTATTATTATTATTATTATTATTATTATTTATTCTAACCTACAACACTGAAAAAGATAAGATGGAGTGATCTTAAACTTTGCTGTAAAGATTCTCATTTTCTAATCCACATACCGTCAATTCCAGTGCTTCATTGAGGAGGCCATTGCGCTTACTGTGAAGGAAGACGTTGGAACCTCCTGTTTTGGCTACGCGAATCCTGGCTAACCGGGCTTTCTGTAAAAGGAAAGAAAGAGGAGACAGGTTAAATTTCAATATTAACGGATGTTATCTGAATGTTTAAAATTTTATTATGCTGGAAGTATAAAATGGACTTGTCTTCCTGTTATTGAACTTTTCTTTATCATATAGTTCTCTAAAAATTATTTTGGGAAGAGTAAAACGGTTGAGATCTGTGAACATGTTTTGAGTGATATACCATATAAGATTGAATTTATTGAGATAAAGTATAGCAAAAACAAACAAACAACAATGCTATTTTATAATGGAGACAATGTAAAATAGGAAGTTATATAGTATGTATTTACCTTCTATTAATGAACTGGATCTGTAGTAATTTATTGAAAGGTTTGATCAACTATTCCATGTGATCAAGGTTTAATACTGTGTTTAAAAATTTAGCTATTTTTCTATAAATAGGTATTTTTGTGTTTTTTATGCTTTTCTTTCACCCCATTTATTCTTATTTTTAGTTTATTGCATTCTTTTTTATTCATATCAATTAAAGCAAATATTAAAAAATGAACCCATTGTTATTGAACTATCTTTCTTTTTGCTGAAAAAAATCAAAAAAGCAATAGCATTTTTGCTTTGAAGATAAGAAAGTGTATACTATTAATGAAATTAATCATTGCTATTATTTATTATTTCTATTCATTGTTAGGTTTGGATTTAAACTCTTAAGTCTATAAGAAAAATCCTGCTTTCATTTTAAATCTGCTCAGTAACTGTAAAAATCATAGAGATCTTCCACACACAGGAAATGTTCTGCCTCTGAAGCTTGACTCGTCGTCACTACCATCACTATTGACAGAGCAGCAAATGCCTAGTAAATTTTTGAGTGTTGTATTCTTGGTGTCCTTTACCAATATGTTCCCTGGGTCTCTGCTTCTGGAATAATATGCATTTAAATATTCTCTACTTTATTTTCTTATTAGAAAGACTGACTGCCTACAATCGGATCAGCCCATTTGGTTGCAGACAAAAGCAGATGAAAAGCAGTTGAATTCATTGCCTGTTGGGTATGACTTGTACATTCAAAAGGGACCAGTATCTCTCAAGTCTATTTCACTATTAATTTGGAATACTCCTGATTTATCTACAACTAAATAAGGGAAAGACTGAGGATATTTTGCATATTTATGCTACAATCTTATTGGATTAAACTGCTTTTGATGGAAACTATTTCTAAGAACCTATATTTAGAATATAAATATAAGAACAGAACTCTGAACATGCCTATTCAGTGGCTGTTCTTTAACAAACTACAAGAGTAGGACAGAGGAAAAACTACAACAGTGAACCTAGTAGATATGCTCATCAAATCTCAGATATCTTGTCTCCATACCCATGCAGAAATATGAAAAATAAACATAGTAAACTAGGTTTCCTAAATCAGGAAGACAAACACAAAACTAGATAGAAATGATACTTATATTTGTCACATGATATTGGAAACTTTCACCTTAATAGAATGATACTTATTTATCATAGTATTAGAAATCTAGAACCTATGCAAAAGTAACAGGTGCAATAGAAAATGTATGAATATTATACCATATAAAAGAAGAAAATATATACTTGCATAGAAATCTAGAATTAAAGCATGGAAATACTGTTAAAAATATGTGGGTAAAAATAAAAGAAGAGAGAAAGAAAAGTGATGCCACCAGGGAAGTTTATTTTAGACCACCTAAGCAGACAAAGGAGATGCATGTGGTCTTTCTATGTCAAATGATCATTCTTTCAGAGACACATGCAATAATGGGATAATGGGAGATTTCAATTATCTTGACATTTGCTGGAAATCTAAGTCTGCTAAGAGTCAGAGGTCCAATAGATTCTCTTTTGTTGGCAACTTCACTTGTCAGAAGATGGAAGACAGAACAAGGAAGTCTGCTACTATGGACCTAATCCTGTCCAGCACAAAAGAATTGTTTGAAGGAGTAATGACAGCTGTTATCTTAAGGACAGTCATCCTGGTATCTTTGAAATTGTAACATTTTATAGAATAACAGAATAACAGAGTAGGGAGAGACTTTGGAGGTCTTCTAGTCTACCCCAATTTCAAACATATACCTACATAATCTGTTCTTTAAAATCTTTAGTGATGAAGCACCCACAACTTTTGAAGGCAAGCTTTTCCGCTGATTATTTGTTCTAACTGTCAGGAAGAAATTTAGGGAACTGTCAGGAATTTAGACAAGGAGAAACTGACATCTGCATATTGGACCCTTGAATAATAGTTTTTAATGAATTCTGAGGGAAGTTAGGCTGGATCTTATGGGTTGAATTCCTGAAAAAGAAAAGCATCAGAAACTAAGGAAAATCCTATAGAATGAGGAGTCAGGCTTGACGAGTCATGCTTGAACGATATATATGAAGAGCAGAAAATGGAGAAATCTAAAAAGGTTACCATGAACAAAATGCTGAAGACAAAAAGGCTTATTTATAAGAAATGGAAGAAGGGTTGAATAAGCTAAGAAGAATTCAAGGCTGTTTCCTCAAACTGTAAGAACTGTGTCAGCAAAATTAAAGCTGAGAATATTTCAGACTTGAAAACTATAACAACAATAACAAAGGTTCTTTCGAGTAGTTAGAAACAAAAGGAAAAGCCAAGACAAGGTAGATCTTTTGCAAGAATGAAATCTTGAATTGATAGAGGGTAATGTGAGAAAGCAGAACTTCTTAACTCCTATTTTGCATGTGTCTGTAGCTAATGTACATGAATTAGATAGTCACTTCAGTAGTCTGGGATGTAAACCAACAGACAAATTTGTAGAACAACTGTTAGTGGATTCTGGCAATTCTAGAAACTCTAGAAGTCTGGAGGAGAGCAAATGCCATTCCCATCTTCAAAAAACTGGAAGGGGAAGTACAGAACTCTCAATTTCATGTCTATAAACAACATCTTGTGAATAGACCAATTTCATTGGTTACAACTGATTCTGATGCTTCAGAACTACAAATAGGCAAAAAGCAGGACTTATTTCAAAATGTTATTAGGAACAAGTGAAAACTTCAAAACACTGAGCAAGATTTGGAATGTCATGGATGTTTTTAAGGAACAGCCACTACTATTTTATCCCAAAATGCTTTGCCTTTTATCCCAAAATGCTTTGCCCCATAATTGACAAACATCTTGACTGACATTTGTCCTTTAATGAGATGGCTTTCACTCACACTTTACTGTGTCTGAAACATCTTTAACCATTTTATTTATTTAGCTTTACTTAATTTATAAATATTTGCACACTGTTTTTTCTCACAATTCTAGGCAGGCTACAATATAATAAATACAATAAACTATCTGTGAAGTACTAATAAATCCAGCCCCAAAACTGCCAGAATTTGGGCCTTGGCCCTATGAATCTGTGCTTACTTGCTTCTACTGATCAAGTCCTCTGTCATCCCATCAAGGTAAGCCAAGTCAAGAAACAGACCCAATAGGAATTCTTTTTTGTAGAATAACACTGTTGTGTCCTGAGCCTGCAAAAGCAGGCTCAAGACGTTGCATTGGTCCAGGGCATTCCAAAAGCTGCCCGGGACCAGATTGAGCGGTGCCAGCCTTGCGAAAACACTCAGCTACTTGTTGCCATTTTGTCCGGGTCTCTGGACAGATAAGAGAGAGGCCTGCATGCCGTTTGCATTGTTGGGGTGTTGCTGTTAAATGAATAAAGAGCTGTGAACTGCACAATAAGTCTTCATCATTCGCCCACAATCAAAGGACTTAACACTGGTGACGAGGGTGGGATGCTTTACAAGCTGAAGAAAAGAAAGCTTTAAAGATTTACCCAAGAAGTCCTGAAGAGGGGAAGACGGCATTGGAATCAGTGTCCCAGCCTGCCAGTATAACGTCGCTGGAGAGTGAGCTTGGCTGAAAGACCCTTTCCCCAATAGAATTGCAGAGGAGCGAGTGGTGAAGGTTGTAAACTACAGGATGGTGAAATTTTGTTGTTTATCTGAATTTGATGTCTCACACCCAGAGAGATGGGAATCCTACATTGCGAGGGTGGAGAATTACTTCAGAGTAAACCAGATTAGAGAAGATGGCTTAAAGCTGCAACCCTGTTGTGTGTCTGTGGACAGGAAGCTTTCAAAATTGCAGAGAATCTGGTGGCCCCTGCACCTCTGGAGTCAGTAACGTATACTGACTTGAAGAAACTGCTGAAGGAACATTTCGAGCCCAAGTTGTCTGTTATTGCTTGGAGGCACATGTTTGAGCACAGGGACCAGAGGGCAGGTGAATCTGCTAAGGATTTTATTGCGATCTTAAGGCAAGCAGGCAGACCGTGTGAGTTCAAGGATCTGGAAGAGAGGCTGCGAGATCATTTTGTATGCAGTTTAAGGAACAGAGACTTATAGTAGAAGATTTTTGCAAAAGAAGAAGTCTCTTTCCAAGATACCCTATGAGAGGTGACAGCTGAGGAAGCAGCAGGTGGGGCAGTAAAAACCTTGTGGCCCACCAGGAGCCCTCCAGAGGCAGCCACCATCCATCAAGAGGATGCTCAAGAAGGTTCGGAAGCAGATCCTGAAGAAGAGGTGGATAGGCTTTACCAGACAGCTGAAAGGAGGCAGAAGGAACGTCCAGACAAGGCCCCAGCAGGTCTTCAATGCTTCAGGTGTGGAGGACGCCACAAGTGAGCTGACTGCAGGTTCCGCTCCGCCATTTGCAGAGCGTGTGGTAGGCAAGGCCATATTGCATCCTTCTGTTTGGGTCACCAGAAGGTCCAACCTCATGAAGAATTGCATCTGAAAGGTACCAGGGTCCCCAGCCAACATAGGGTGGGTTTCTGCGCATCGCACAGGAGTATTTTGAGGACAGGCACACATAAATTCCTAAAGAAGAAACTGTCCATTAAAGTAAGTTTGCAAGGGGTTCCCTTATCCATGGAATTGGACACTGGCTCCGCTCTCTCCATTATTTCCATTAACACATTCAAAAGGATTTGCAACAGCAGTGGCCTTCGAGCCAAACTCAGGCCATCCAATATAATACTTACAGATTTTTAGAATTCTATGGTGTGTGTTAAGGGGGAAGCCACCCTTAAGGTACAGCACAAGGATTTTGAAGGTCCCCTAGATGTGGCGGTTGTTGGGGGTGAATGCATGAGTCTTATTGGACTTGATTGGTTCAAGGCTCTGAGAATCCAGGTCACTAGGCTGCACCATTTGCAAACGTTGAGCCTGGCAGAATAATAATAATAATAATAATAATAATAATAATAATAATAATAATAATAATAATAACAACCCCCAGTAATACCACTTAGAAACAAGGAAGATCAAGGAAGCACTGGAAATAATAAAGCAACAAATAACAGCTATAGCCAGGAAAATCAGTAGATAT